CGCCGTGTTTTCTCTCTTGCGCAGGCGGTTAGGCACAGCAGCCTGCGTCTGCTGGCCGCGGGAAAGACGGCAGCGGACGCCGCGGCGCGGGCGGCAGGCGCCGGACATGCATACTCACCGCACCGCTGCTACGCCACCGCCGACCACTCCTCCCAGCCGCAGCCATCGCCGCCGCCGCCGCTGTTGTCGCGCGGCCTCCAGCAGCAGCAACAACAACAACAACAACAACAGCAGCAACAACAACAACAACAACAGCAGCAGCAACAACAACAACAACAACAACAACAACAATACCAGCAGCAACAACAACAACAAGAGCAGCAGCAGCAACTACAACATCAACAAAAACACCAACAACAACAACAACAACTGCATCCACAACAACATCGCCGCCGTCGCCGTCGTCAGCAGCAGCGTCCGCGTCACGTGATCATTGTGTGTTTTGCTACTATGCAGGAGTCGCGTAACCGCAGCCTCGCGTTGTTGGCGGACGCGCGGCGCGCAGAGCTGCTGGTGAGCGGTCGCCTTGCCGACAGCCTACAAGCATCCACGGACGCCGTCGACGCCGTCGCCATGACGACCGAGGAGGCTGCGAGCGGCGTTGCGCAGGTCAGAGCCATGGTGGAGATGATCGCTGCAGGTAGGTGACGGGGGAGGGGGAGGGGGGGAGGAGGAGAGAATGAGATATATATATTATATATATGTATACATATATATATATTTATAGAGTAGAGGCAGAAAGAAAGTGAAAGAGAGCGAGAAATAAAAATAAAGAGACAGACAATTATGCAGTATCTGTATAACATCTGTCTCTCTCTCGTTACAGAACCAGGGTTTTTGGACAGCCAGCACGACAGGCAGCCAACGACAAGGCTGTGCACGCGCTTCTGGCAGGTGGACACGACCAACGATCGCATCGAGGGCTTGCTGGAGGAGGTGCCGGCGGTGGCCGCACGCGCCGACACGCTCGCCACCGAGATACAGGAAGCTGACCGCTCCGTTGGATTCGCACCCGTAACCAAGCTCGGTTAACGTTAGCTTCGCGTAGTGTAGCTGTGGATATTCGCTGTATCCGTGTCACTGTCGCTGTATCCGTGTGTAGATATCGCTGTATCCGCTGTAGATTATCCCTGTATCCGCTGTAGAATATCCTGTACTCCGCTGTAAGATATCTCTGTATATCCGTGTATATATCCGAGTAATCCGTGCTAGTATCCCTGTATCCGCTGTTAGATATCCCTGTATCCGTGTTGCCTATCGCCTGTATTCGTGTACGATATTCCCTTGTATCCGTGCTAGTATTCGCTGTATACCGGTAGCATATCGCTGTATCCGTGGTATACTATTCCCAGTATCCGTGTACGAATATCCCTGCTATCCGCCGTCAGATATCACTGTATCCGTGTAGCTATCCCTGTATCCGTGTAGATATTCCCTGTATTCCGTGCTAGATCATCGCTGTATCCGTGTAGATATCCTGTATCCGTGTAGATAATCCCTGTATCTCGTGTAGATATCCCATGCGTATTCCGTGTTAGATATCGCTGTATCGTGCTTAGATTATCGCTGTATCTCGTTGTAGATATCCCTGTATCCGTGTAGCTTCGCATTGTATCCGTGCTAGATATCGCGTATCCGTGTAGATATCCCTGTATCCGAATGTAGATATCCTGTATCCGTGTAGATTATCGCTGTATCCGTGATAGATTATCGCTGTATACGTGTATATATCCCAGTATCCGGTGTAGATATCCCTGTATACCGTGATAAGATATCGCTGTATCCGTGTATATACTCCCTGTATCCGTGTTAAGATATCCCTGTATCCGCTGCTAGATACTCGCTGTATCGTTGCTAGATATTCGCTGTATTCCGTGTATATATACCCATGTATCCGTGTAGACTATCCTGTATCCGGTGTATATATCTCTGTTTATCCTGTAGATATCCTGTATCCGATGTAGATAATCCCTGTATCCGTCGTAGATATCTCTGTATATCGTGTAGATTATAGTATACCCTGTATCAGTGTATATATCCCTGTATCCGTGTAGATATTCCCTCGTATCCGTGTAGCTTCGCTGTATCCGTGTTAGAATATCGCTGATATCCGTGTAGATAATCCTGTATCCCCCGTGCTAGATATCCTGTATCCGTGCTTTAGATATCCCGCCTGTATCCGATGTAGCATATCCCTAGTATCCGTGTCACTGTCGCTGTATTCCGTGCTAGCTTGATCCCTTGTTATCCGTGTAGCTATCGGCTGTATCCGTGTAGATTCCTGTATCCGTGTAGATATCCCCTGTATCCGTGTAGATATCGCTGTATCCGTGTAGATATCCCTGTATTCCTTGTAGATATCCCCTTTTATCCGAATGTAGATATCCCTGTATTCCGTGTAGATAATCCCTGTATCCGGTGTAGATATTCCCTGGTATCCGTGGTTAGAGTATCCCTGTATCCGGTGTAGATATCGCTGTATCCGTGTTAGATATCCCTTGTATCCGGATATAGATATCCCTGTATCCGTGTAGATATCCCTGTATCCGTGTAGATATCTCTGGTATACCGTGTAGAATATCCTTGCTTATCCGGTGTCACTGCTCGCTGTATCCGTGTCACTGTCGCTGTATCCCGTGATAGATTATCGCCTGTATCCGTGTAGATTACTCCTGTATCCGTGTTAGATATCCCCTGTATCCGTGTAGAATCGCTGTATCCGTGTAGATATCGCTGGGTACTCCTGTGTACGATATCCCTGTATCCGTTGTAGCATATCCCTGTATCCGTGTAGATAATCCTGTATCCGGTGTTAGATATCCCTGTATCCGTGTATATATTCCCAGCGTATCCCGTGTAGATATCGCCATTATCCGCTGTAGATATCGCTGATCGTGTAGATATCCCTGTATCCGTGTAGCTATCCCTGCTCAATCATCGTTGTAGCCATATCCCCTGTATTCCGCTGTAGATATTCCCTGTATCGCGTGGTAGATATCCCTGTATCCGTGTAGATATCGCTTGTATCCGTGTCACTGTCGCTGTATCCGTGTAGATATCCCTGTATCCGTGTAGATATTCCCTGCTATCCGTGTAGCTATCCTGTATCTGTGTAGATATCGCTGTCTATCCGGTGGATAGATATTCCCTGTATCCGGTTTGTAGCATATTCCCTGTATTTCTGTGTTAGATATCCCTGTATTTCCGTGTTAGATATCGCGTGTATCCGTGTCACTTGTCGCTGTTTCGTGTAGATATCCCTGTATCGCGTGTAGAATATCCCTGTATCCGTGTAGCTATCCCCGTGTATCTTGTGTAGATATCCTTGGTATTCCGGTGTAGATATCCCTGTATCGTGTAGCTATCGCTGATATTCCGTGTAATCTCTCTCT